TTTCACCTCTATGTGTGTTTGTTTTTAAAATATTGGATAAAATATATAGATTTTGTATTTGAAAAATGACATTTAATTTTCATATTATAATTGTGAAGATTTATAAGGTTATTGTTGTTGTATTGTAAAAATTTATAGGATTGATTTTTCTTTTGTCTAATTGGATATTATTATATTTCATATTAAAAATGACATTTGATATTTCAATAATTTCTTAATTATTGACCCCTTTTTTTTTATCTAATATGATAAATCAGTGACAACTTGTTATAGTCACTAATTAGATAAACCAGTGACCACTTTCTATGGTCACTAATCACATAAAACAGTGACGACTTTTATTTGTCACTAAGTAGATAAAATAGTGACGACTTTCATTGATGAGTGACAACATTTAGTGATGAAATGGGTCGTCACAGATTTAGTGACGAGTATATTTTAGTCACTGTTTAGTGATCATATTTGTATTTGATCACTAAATCGGTTTTGTGACGGACCTATAGTGACGAAAAGTGACGACCAAAATTTTGGTCACTAAATCATTTAGTGACGATTCATTCTATTGTTAGTGACCGTTTTGTTTTTGTCACTAATTGGTATTTTTTTTTTGTAGTGATATGTTAATATTATGTAAATTTGATCATTTCTCAATCACAGCAATATCAAATTCATATAAAAGTAAGAATATACATGGAAATCCAAATTTGATTTGAGTGAGATTAGATGATGAAGAGGATGCAATTGTTAAAAATAATCCTATTTTGAACACACCAATCTACAACAACAACCTATATTATTAGCTTTACCTTTTAGGTTAATGATGGTAATTATTATCATATAATTATTTTAAGCACTAGCTATACATACCTCTTTAAAGGGTGCTGTTATTAAGACACCTTTTAGACACCCTATACACATCTTTATCAAAAGTCAACCAATAGGTGATTATTTTTAATCATTTTTTTCAAAAAACAATGTAATTTTAACCAATAAAAAACTTTAAAAATTATATAGGATGTCTAAATGGTAAATTGGAGTGTCCATTTAGCCATCCCCCTCTTTAAAATCTTTTCATACCCCTTAATCATTATCCTAATAACTAGTTCTCATAACTACATAATAATGTTTACTTTTTTATTTTTAATTATTACTTAATTATTAAATAACTATAAATACTCTTTTATAAAATATAAATTGTTAATATTTTTAAATCTATTTAATAAAATATTATTTTATATTAACTAAAAAACTTGACTTATTTTGTTAAAAAAAAATTAATATAATGTATTTAATTAATATAATTTATTTAAAAGAAAAGTTGATTTCAAAAATCTTCAAATATTTTATTAAAAATTACAAAACTGTTATAAAATCTATTTTTTTATTTTTTTTATAAATGTCTTTTATTAAAAAATTATATACATAAAATATAAGAGATAAAATTTTACACTTAGGGTTGTAAACTTCAAATATGAAGATATAAAAACATTTTATCTCTCAAACCCTATTAGCTGCCAAGAAAGAATGAGAGAACATTTCAGAAGCTCCAACGAGTGTCAGGTCGATGGCCCCACGCTCCGACGATGTCCATGGTGTTCCAACAATCTACCATCTCCAACCGATTTGTGGTGGTCGCCGGTGGTGGCAGGGAAACCCAGCAACAATCGACGTTGCTATGGTCGTGTGCGACGACTTTCTGGCGGTTGTGTTATGTGGGGTGGTGAAGACTGAGGGTTGATTTACGGTGGTGCGCCGATGATAGACACAACCTGGTTGTCCAATGTGAGCAGCAAAAGATCAGACAATGATTCACGGTGGTCTTCCCCCTTTTGTTTCTCTTTTTCTTGATCTGGATGCTGGTTGGTGGTTGCCTAGGGATCTCTTGATCAGTATCTCCCTCTTTTTCTGCTAATTTATTGATATTTTTGGTAGGTGTCCGACAGTAGGTTATCGACGACGGTTAATGACGGCTTAAGGTGGCCGACGTTGGTTTATTGTTGTTTTAGTATTGAATGTAATATGTTAGAAACTTGTTTTGATTATTGTTAACAGATTACTCAATGTTTTAGTTTTAATAATATATGTTTTAAAAATATGTTGATGGTCCATGGGTGAATTATGTGGTACACAGTTTTTAAAGCGTATGGATTGGTTAGAAATCAAATGATATACCGAAATATATTTTGATTATTTTCAATATCTTAAAAGTAGGATTTACTCTATTGGCTAAAAATATAAAAGATTGTCATAAATAATAATCTTGAAATCTGCAACCAATAATTATACCAACAAAACAATTATGAATGGCGTATATTAACGAAATATGACCATACTTTTTAAATCATTATGACAATCTAATTATTATTTGAGAAACTTTTCTTATTAGTTAATTATTACCTAATTATAAATTACATTTTTATTATTAACTTAATTAATAATAATACAGTTTTTATAATTTAATAACATAAATAATATTATAATAAATAAAATTCCAAATAAATTTTCATCAACCTAATACCATTGATATTATAAATAATACTATAAGAAAAATAAAACCCAAACAAAATTTCATCATTTTTAAAAATTTTTAAATATTACATAACAAAATTCCGAGACATAAATTTTCATCAACCTAATATCTTTCCGTAGTATTTCTGTGATGTATTTTTCGGTGATAAATGCTCTGGCGATGTATTTCCGACGAGCAACGTATTTCAGATGATATTTCAGGTAGTATTTCCGGTGATATTGATGTGTTTAGTTTAGAGTATTTTTTGTAAATGACTTTTTATTTTTTATGTAATTTGAACAGTAAATTTATATTTATAGTTTTTTATATTTGTTTTTTGAAAATCTAAACTTTGAGGGTAAATGTATTGGAAAAGATGGTCTTAGAAACACAAAGTCAAAATAAACCTTAAAATATAGGTAATAGAGGTGGGTTAGATTGGTGCGTATAAAAAAGAAAAAAATCGTTCATTTATCAAATAAATAAAAATGAACTTATTTTTGTCAAACAGTTTATGAACATATTATATATATATATATATATATATATATATATATATATATATATATATATATATATATATATATGGTTTGTTTACCTTTATATTTTAGTTACAACCTATGTTTAAAAATATAAATATTAAATGACATATTAGTTAAAACTTAGTTGATATTACAAAATATTTTATTTGTATTTTGCTTTAATATAATGTAACTTAAATAAAAATCATTGGTACAATCTTTATTATTAATCGTATAATAAATAAAAATAATTTAAGGGCAAGGTTTATTAATAAATATAAGGTTTATTAATAAATATCATAAAATTTAAAAGTTTAAATTAAGAGTTTAACATTTGAGTGTTGGTTTAAAAAAAAAATTAGGAAAAGGTTTAAAAGCTGTGTGGTTTGTTAAAAGCCAAAAAGGCACGCAACATTTATTTTTAAAAAGAAATGCATTGGTTTTTGTAAATCAAGGGGTGTACATGGATGTTGCTATTAAATTGTCTAGTACTAGATTGGTGTGTAATATGGTTGTCTAGGTATGTATAAAGAAATACCTCTTAAAAAAAATCCTTGAAACAATCATATTCCCGTAACGTTTCTATGCCTTGATAGGCTACATGAGAAACCGTTATCGTGTATTGGAAATGAAAGAGAGAATCTCCCCTTCTAATTTCTTGTGTACTTTCCATAACAACTAATGGAAATGGTTTTTTATTTTTACACTCCATACTACTTGTAATAAATGTTCAGGAATTTGACTTATTAAGGTAATTAAGTATTTCACATGTTCACATATGGGTAATATTGTTTTTTTTTTTTTGTATTCATTTACCCAACTAACTTGTTTCAGCCGTTCACAAATAACCAACATTACCGGCTATTGTAGGTTTTGGGTGATGTGGCATCTACGTGGCTTGTACGCTGCACTACTCATCACCTACGTGGCATTGAGAAGTGTTTACATTATAAGAGGGGTGAGATACGACAGCTTATTAATTAAAACCCTAGATCGATCGATGGCATCTTCTTCCTCATCCTTTTCTTCCAAACGAGAAGACGAATTGCAACCGGATCATCCATGTGATTGCGATTTGCCATCTCGTGTGAAGACATCAAGAACCCCAGACAACCCTGGAAGGAAATTCAGAATTTGTCAAAACTCACTAGTAATTCATGTTTTTATAAAAACTCACTGGAAACTCACTGGTAACCTGAACTAAATATTTTTTACTTCTTCATCCTTCAATTTAACATGTTTTTATAAATTTCTTGAAAAATGGAAAAAGTCCAAGCTGTAAATTTTGGCAATGGTTGGATGAGGATGAAGGGAGGAAAGATGGAAGAGGGCATTACAGGATGAAAGCAGAAGAAAGCTGCAATCTTACCTTGAAAATTTGTACCTTGGAGAATGAAATCAGCATATGCAGGATGAAGATTGAAGAAGAGAAGAACATGAATAAACAAGAATTTGACAAAGTCAATTGGAAATTGTTTACCCATAGACTTGCATTAATTTTCTTGTTTCTCTTGTTTGTCAAAATGTTGTTTTAAATTATGTATTATGATGTAGTATGACTAAATTATGTATGCTTTTTGTGATGTTTTCAATGAAAAAGGTTATATTCTATCATTGTAATGGAATTGTACATTGTAATGGAATTGTTATTAAACTTGGTAGTATAAAAGATAGTAATAAACATTGTTATGGAATTGAATCATTGGAATGGTAGTGTACAAAACTTGTAATGTTATTGTGTTAATCACTTGAATTGAATTGTTCAAACAATGTAATGGGATTGTGATTACACTATAAAGGAACTGTGATTGCAGTTGATATTCTAAAAGTTGGTAATAAATTATAAATAATACAAAATGGTATTGGAAAGATGTGCAAAAGATGGTAATACATTATAGACATTCCAGGGAAAATTGACTTCAAAAGATGTGTCAAAAGTTTTACATGACATAGTTAAACATTTATTAAACCCAAAAGATGTGCAAAAAGTTAAACACTACACACTTAAACATGCATTTAAGCTATTCCAACTAGTTTTCAAAAGATGTGCCAAAAGATTCCAAAGTTAAAAGATGTCAGTCAAAGATGCCAAAAACATTAACAACAATACAATAAGCCAAAAGTTAATCCAAATCATACGGATTGTCATCACTGCTTCCCTGTTTTCCCTCCCACATCTTTCTTATCTTCAACTTTGTAATTCTTTCTGAAGGTTTCCTTGCCCTCTTTCCCACTACAACTTGAAAAGCTGGTATTTCCACTTGATCTTGAACTACAATTTGGTTAGCATCTTCAACTTGAACTTGCACTTCAGGTTCAACTTCAGCTTGAACTGCAGGGTGAACTTCAACTTGGTTAGCATCATGAACTTCAGGATGATTTTTAGGTTCAACTTCAGCTTGCACTTCATGTTGCACTCCATCTTGGACTTCAGGTTCTACTCCATCTTCAACTTCAGGTTGCACATCATCTTCAAATTCAAGATCAAAAGAGTCAACATCACTTTCAGGTTCTATTTCAACTTCACTGTCACTGTCAATATCAACTTCATGTGCCAATATAACCTTCACTTTATCTGTTTTGCATTACTTGAAAAGTTAAGTTATGCCAAATATGTTGTGACGACTGTCAAATTCTGGTCAATTCAAAGTCAAATAAAGTCAACAAGTCAAACCAGTCAACTCAACTAACCCTTGTGTACTAGGGCTTACATTATGTATTTACTAAACAACTCGCTATTCTGATGAGAAATCATAAATCAAAAAGTGCGAACATCTAGATCTCCTTAACCTAAAACTGTGGTACGTGGCGAGCCAAACCGATAAAACAACGTTGCATACTCATCGGCAGTGTGTAAGATCCATAAACAAGGCTTAACAGCGTTTAGAAACCTTGCACTGCGAAGCCGGACACTCATAAATGCCACACATGAAACCTCTCTTAATCGTTTTCACTTTATCTCTTCTTATCCAGAATCTCTCCCAAATCTCTCTAAGAATGTCAAATCTCTCCCAAATTTTTCTAAGAATGTCAAATCTCTCCCAAATATCTCTTTGTATGAGAAATCTCTCCAAGTATGTGCAATCTCTCTCAAATATCTCTCTGTATGAAAAATCTCTCCAAGAATGTCAAATCTCTCCCAAATCTCTCCAAGTATGTGAAATCTCTCTCAAATATCTCTCTGTATGAGAAATCTCTCCAAGAATGTCAAATCTCTCCCAAATCTCTCCAAGTATGTGAAATCTCTCCCAAATCTCTCTCAAAAGTTTCCGTAACTTTTTGAAGTCATTCGGGTCATTCCGACCTTTAACCGGGTAAAAAACGGCTTGAAACGGGGTAAAAACGAGAAAAATAAGCTTAAGGACTCGAAACCCTTCCCTTGGGGCCGAAGCCTCTTAGCACCCGAAAGTCCTCTTAGGGACCGAAACCAAGAAGACCCGAACCCTCCTGAGCCGAAAGCTCCTCTCAGGGTCGAACCTCGCCCAGGAGGAACCGAACCCGAAAGGTCCTCTCAGGGCCGAACCTCACCCAGGAGGAACCGAACCCGAGCCCTCCCTTCGCTTCCCCGCCTCCCTTCGTTTCCCTCTATTTCGCTTCATTTCGGATTCAGTCCACAGCAAGGACCGAACCTAGGCCTAGGACCGAGAGGTCTCGCTGGAAACCCATTTTCTCCTGGTTTTCGCGTAGTTTTGCGTTTAAGGCTCGTTTTTACTTATTTTAACGCGGGATTTTCACCCAAAATAATATTTTAACATAATAAACCCTAAATTTTCACAATTTAATCATATTTCCATGAAAATCTTTATTTAAATAATAAAAGCTAGTGGGTAAAGTACAAAGAGGTGGAGTGTTGACTTTGCTTTACCTTATGACACAAGCAACCACTCCCACACCCACTCTATGACTAGCCACACCTCCCCACCTTACCTAGGTCACATCAATGTCCTTTTCACTCAATTACCACCCTTTCCCACATTTTTGAGAGCTGGACATTCATCCTCTCTCCTCATTTTTCCCATTTTCTCTCATTTCACCAAGAAGATCAAACTCTTTCCTCTCTCACTTCCTCTCTCTAGAAATTCGAGATTCAAGGGCTGATCTTGGGTTTTTCCTCCACATTTGGTAAGCATAATTCATTCTCCTTATGATTATTTCATTTCCTTCTACACAAATCAAAGATATCTTACACAAACTCCATCATAATTGTGTCAAATCTTCAAATCTTCAAGTGATTCTTCAAGTGTTCTTGGGTTGAACACTTCTCTTCTTCAACACTTATCTACTGAAATCACTTAAGGTGAGTTCATACCCCTACATTTTCATGTTTTCTCAAGTTTTCAGGGGGGGGGGGGGATTACAAGTTAAAACACCAATAACATAACTAAATTTTTCTAACAACCTTCATCAGAAAAGTTCAACTCCATTCACGGACTGTTTTGGACAACTTAAACATTTTATTTTTCAAAACTGTTTTAGGTACAAGTAGTTCCACTTCTTAGCTTTAAAATGACTACTTTCACATCTCCATAAATTTTTTCTACAATTTATGGTGATTTTTACAAAACAGCCTGTCTTTTCAAACACAAATCCAGACCAGTTTGTGAATATGAGCATTTTAAGACAAGTTAAAGGCTTCCAAAAATCATGATAAAAATTATGAGTAAACTAGACTCATTTTAGGAACTCTCAGAATTTACGAATCTAGTCTTCGACTTCGTATGATTTTTCTAAAACAGTGCAGAAAGATTAAGAATTAGTTAACAGCTTCTAACTAACAAAACACTTTGTAACATGTTGAGCAAAGTGTTAAGTCTTTGATGACTTCATATATTACATGTATTTCTTGTTATGATATATTTGTATAATAGGAAATTACTTACTGAATTTATAAGAATCCTCCATCATAATCATTAGTACAAAACAAAGCAAGTTAAACATAGCTATATTGCACTATACATTCGACTTACAAAGAATGGGATTCTTAAACACCACAAAGAAACATACTAAACTATAATAGGTATAGTTAGGGTACATATACATTTCAAACATTTTAATAAACTATAATAGGTATAGTTTATGATCATTTACATAACACACTTGTACAAAAAGAAAGGGTACGAATACAAAGTGCCGAGTTTATATACAAAAGGGGGTACAAATACAAAGTACCGGGTTTTTATACAAAAAAGGGGTACAAATACAAAGTGCCGGGTTTATATACAAAAAGGGGTACAAATACAAAGTGCCGGTTTTTATACAAAAAGGGGTACAAATACAAAGTGTCGTGTTTATACACAAAAAGGGGTACAAATACAAAGTACCGGGTTTTTATACAAAAAGGGGTACAAATACAAAGTGCCAGGTCTTTATACAAAAAGGGGGTACCGATACAAAGTACCAGGTTCACTTAAGATAGTTATTATGATATTAAAACTATATTTCATCTAGAATTGTTAGACTTCAACTATAATCGCTGAGCGTATATGTTTGAGTCATATAAGAATTTAGTCTCGATTAGCCTAGAATTAGTGGTGTCTGCCTCATCTCCTGTTCCTTGTTTGGTTGTGGACCTAGGGCAGACCCACTATATTCAACGTTGTATCTAATTTAAACCTTATATAACTTATATACGCTGGACGATTATAGAGGAACTCTACGGGTCATTTTAGGGTTCATTAATGCATCATATAGGAATATTTCTATTCACACTTAACTAAGAAAATATTGGATTTTCTGGAAATCAAACCATATCGATTTTACAAGGAAAACGGTTTCTACTTCAAACAAAACTCTTATAAACTCACCAACTTAATTGTTGACACTTTTTCAAAACTACTTGTATTCTCAGGAAATCAATGAAACAGGAAAACTTCAGCGCTTTGAGGATGGGACGTTAAACCGTTAACAATTTACTTTTGTCATCATAATGTAATTGATTTTGAAACATGTAAACATATACTTTGGTGTAACTTTTTCAATTATATTTATGATGGTTGTATTTACTTTGAGCACTATTATACACGTTGTTGTGATACTGTACATGAAGTCCTCCACCCCCGGGCGTTTCCGCCATCCTTGGTTTGGGGGGTGTGACATATGTTAAGTTATACAAGTTATATATAAATAAATATATCAAACATACCAGCTTTCTTGGATTTCTTTTTCTTTGAACTTGCATTTGATGATTCCCCAATTGGTTTCTGAGGACAAGTTGTTATATTATGCCCACTTTCCCTACATATGTTGCATTTCATCACACTACCTCTTTTTGTGATTGAATGCTTTTTTCCTTGGTTTTCCCTCTCAATCTGATCCATTTTTCCTTTTTATTGATGGTCTTCCTGGTAGCCTTCTCCTTTTGGGGCGCAATGGGCTGATGTAGTCTACATGAGGCCACATGTCACTACCATTTAGTGGGTTAATGGTATATCTGTAACAGTTTAGGTACATTGATGTGGTAAACCATGGTGACACATACTCCTCTACATCCCTGTTGAGGCTTGCAATGCAAGCATACCCATGCACACAAGGGTAACTTGTTAACTGCCAAGTTCTGCAGGCACATGTCTCACTACCAATATCCACAACATATGCATCATACCCAAGTCTGACTTCATACTGTTGATAACCATATGGTATTACTTTCCAAAACCTGTCCATATACACATGTTTAAAGATAAACATATATAAGGACAAACATGTTTAAAGACAAACATATATAAGGACAAACATGTTTAAAGACAAACATATATAAGGGCAAATAGTTTTAAACACTTACCTTTGAAGATCCTTAAGCTTGGACAACTTCAGCCTAATGGTAGAACATATGGTTAAATCCCAAGATTGCCCCTTAATCGTTTGTTTATAAAGCCTCTCCATCACATAAATTCGAATTTCTTCTAACATGGTGATTAGTGGTCTCTTCCTGGAAACTTCAATCATAGAGTTGAAACTCTCAGATATACCATTTTCAAATGCATCATAAGCCCTATCAATCTGAAAAAATGCTTTACTCCAAGTTTTAGGGTCCTTTCCCATCAAATGGTCATAAGCTAGTGGCTCTAATTTCTTGACTTCATTCATGTGTTGTTCAAATTTTGCAGGGGTAGTGGCTGCAGCAGCATACCAGAAAAGCTTTCTAAACACTTGGCCCTTAAACCTTTTCAGGAAGTTAGCACATATGTGCCTAGCACATTGCCTATGCTCTGCTGCTGGGACCCTTTCCTTCACAGCCTCAAGTAATCCCTATTAGTAATAGACACAAAATTTAAACAACAAAAACATAACATAAGCTAAAATAAAGATGAAAATAATAGAAATTGATTACTTTGTGTTGGTCTGATATCAAGGTTAGTCCATGCCCAACTCCCATTCCAAGGTCCTTAATTAGAAGGTCAATAAACCACTTCCATGTTTCTTTACTTTCCACTAATACAACAACCAAAGCAATGGGATATATATGGTTATTTGGATCTCTACCTATAGTAGAGAGCAACTGACCTCTGCATATGCCTTTTAAGAAGCAACCATCTAGTCCAATTACCCTCCCACAACCTTCAATCCATCCATCCTTCAATCCCTTGAAACATACATAAAACTTTGAGAAATATGTGGTTCCATCAGGCATGACATCTACATCCATCTTCACTGTTGATCTAGGGTTAGTCCTTTTTATCTCTTCTCCATAGCTCCATGTTTTTGCATAATGCTCTTTCAAAGTACCCTCTATCTCCTGAAATGCATACTTCCTTGCATTTCTGCATTGACCAACACTTGCAATCAAATTAAATTTCTTGCTGACTTTAGCTTTCAACTTCCTTATACTCATCTTTGGTTTATGAAGTATATGATTCATGAAATGCTTTGCTATCCATTTATAGGTAACAATGGACCCAAATTTGAATACTCTTGCACAATTATGCATATCATTTAGAGATTTAATCCGGAATGATTTTTCACTGCTCATCCAGGTTGCCCACAACCTAAAGGGACAACCTTTACCCTGTTTATTTGTCTTACCTTTACAATATTTTACCAATAACCTTTCATGATCACTTTTCTCATACCATAAATCATATCCATTTTGACTGCATAGTTGGTGATACACAACTTCAATTCCAATGGATTAGAAAACTTCATACCTAAAACTGGCACCATTTGCTCCCATTCTTGATTCTCATTATGGACAGGGAACACAACATCCTTAAGCTTCCCATTGTTTGCTTCCTCTTCATCATCATCACTAATATGCCCTGAAAGTTTGTCCAAGAATGGGTCTCCAACAGTTTTATCAAAAGTATGTTCATCTTCATCATCCCATTCATGTTCATATTCCATTGTCATTGAAACTTCAGAATCCTTGTCATCCTCTTCATCCAACTCATCCGACTCATACCCTTTACCATCTGCTAAGAACTCGTTATCAGCCCAATCAAGAATTGGTTCATTTCGGTGGTCAATGTACACATCTAGCTCACTCTCAAGACTATCACTCTCTAGACTATAAATAGTTTCCACAAACTCCGAATAATCAGCATCATTATCGATTCTTCTAATACCCTCACACAAGCTTTCCTTTCTTATATAGTAGTAGACATTATCACAGGCTCCATTCGTTAATTTCGTAAGCCACAAAAGAAACTCTTTATACGTAAATCCCCCAAAATCCACATCACGTACATTTGTTTTTACGGGGTCTAAGTACACCAATGGGTTTGGTGAAAAGAATCCATTGTAATGAAAATCTACAGATACATACATACCTGTAGATGAGGATGCCATGCTAGCAGTCGACTTCATTTCCAACTTCAATTCCATGCCCTAATCTTCGATTTGATGTATCGATTGATTTCTCACAGAAGAAGGTAACCGAGGTGTGTTAGCTGACGATGACGAACCCTAATTAAATGAGAAATGGGTGTAATGGCCACGTAAGATTCCACGTAATGTTTTCAACCGACCTAAATCAATGTTACCGACTAAAATAGGTAATAGCCGGTAATGTTAGTTATTTGTGAACGACTAAAAACAAGTTAGTTGGGTAAATGAGTACAAAAAAAACAATATTACCTATATGTAAACATTTGAAATACTTAATTACCTTAATAAGTTAAATTCCCTAAATATTCACTCCAGTCTAAAATTAGACTGTGAAAACTATAAAACTGAATATCCAATTAATAGTGTCTACGTGTTCTCCTCACCCCACTTTTCACCTATTCCACATGGGGCCTTTTTCTTCTAATTAAAGTTATTAATTTTTTTTTTGTTTCATTTTTATACAAAAACTTATTTGTCACGGATAAAAATAATTTAATTTAATTTTTTTTTTACAATTGTTTTAAAAGTAAGTATCTTACTGTTTAGTTTTATTTAGGTTGAATATTGATTTTTTGCAGTTTGATTTTTTTTAATCGGAATAACAAAACTATTTATTAATTTTATTAAATTGTAATATATATTATTAATAAATATGATTTTTTTAGTTTTGTTAATTTATATAAAGATATATCATATTTGTTTTTAATTTGGAATAATAGTATAAGATAAATTTCATAAATAATTTTGTTTTTCTTTTTTCTTTTTGGTTTTCATTTTAGCTTAGCGACTTTTTCTTTTCGTATAAAACTTTGATTATTATAAAATTTATTATAGTTTGAGTTGGGAGTCTAGTAGCTTTATTGTTTTGATATTAATACATATTTTAGGTTTAACGACAAGTTTATTAAGAATAATATTTTAATAAGTTTTTTTTCATACAATTATATTTACACTTTAAAAAAATTTATCTCTTAAGTTAGGTGAAGGATTTTTATAATAATATTATAGAATAAAAAAATGTTACATTTTCTATTATTTCAACTTAATAGTTTATATATATATAATAAAAAAGAAAGAGAATTAGATAAAAAATAATAATAACAAATATTTTTTTCGGAAAACAATGTAATCGTTAATTAATGAAAATGATTAGTTGATAGTAATGATTAACCTAAAATATATTAGAGTAGGGTGGAATAGGGTGGAGTGTTCATAAGATCACCCATATCTTAAATACACGGCATTAAGATATTTATACTTGTTATTTCCATCAACTAACACTTTACAAAACATGAAGATATAAACTGTAAATATACCTAAAACATAAAATATATTACAGAAACATGAGGAAATTTCCATCTAAAACTACAATCCTTTCTTTAGACTTTAAGTAAGAGTAGTGAAGGTGCTGATATGGATTAGAACATTTAAGATTAAAACTCCACTACTAGTTGGCCTCAACAACAGTTAAAAAATTTCTTATCACATTTGTGGGGTGCTAATATAAAGTTTCAAGGGGCTGATAGATTTAATATTTGTCTTTTTTGCTATAGTTGTTAGCAGGGCTTGGGTTTATTTATGTACTACTCTGTGTGGTTTTAGTTTCACACTGTACTTCATCTCTGTGTTCTCTTTTTTAAGCTTGCTAGTGTCTTACTAGTCTGCTGTTATTAATAATATATATTCTGCAGTTTAAAACAAATAATACAACATGAAAAAATCTATACACAAAGACAAAACATTTCATGAACTGTTTGGTTTATCATTAATACATTAGGAACAATTTCCAACACACATAGAACCTCAGCATTCAACAAGAAAACTTTACGTTACAAATTAATTATGGAAAAGCCTCGATAATCGACACAAGCGCGGGTATCTTAATAATATTGTAACGACTAAAGCCAGATTCACCAAGAAGTTTTTTCCACTCGTTTTCAGATCGTTCTCTTCCACTAGGAAAGAATGCAAACATTACTAGATCAAATGTAAGGCGTGTGTAGTTGAAAGGATCATCTTCAGTTGAGTGTTGCACGATCTCCACAATAATGACTTTTCCGGTTTCTTTAGGTATTGCTTTTCGACAATTTTTAAGTATCTTAATGCAATCATCATTGCTCCAATTGTGCAAGATCCACTGCAAATGCATTGAAAAACTAATATCATTGTGTATACCATAACATTCTTTGTTGTTTCATTGTCCATAGTTATACAATCCCTTAAGAAATAAGTACCTGTGTAACATTGTAATTTGCATGCTCGGGATCTAGGGTTCTATTTGGTTGTTGGAATTAACAAATGATATGGGCTAAAGATACTTCTTAATGATTATTCAAACTGTTAGCATAATAATAAGTTTAATTATTGGGCTCTTTTGGTATATATTAGACTTTTTTTCTAGCCCTTTAGCGTAGGTTAACCCAAGATGACTTTTCTATTTACAGTCTTATTTAACTTTCTTTGTAAATATAATTTCCCTTTTCCAATAATGAAACCATAGTTGTTTTCTCTTTATATTATTACTAGTTTAAAGTAGTTTACATAGACAATCCGCACCAACACTCAAGCAAAACTAAATTGTCTACTTCTCATGTCATTTGGTAAAAAATTCAAATCTTTAAGTGTATAAATTAGTTTCAATGTTCGTCAATATTGCTCTAATTCAATTCCACTCAATTCAAAACTAATTGAGCTTATAGAGCTTTTCAATGACATGAGAAGTCGAATTAGAGCAATATCTACATTAGGGTAGCTTTTCAATTAATTTATTCGTGCCCCTCTCATCACCACATCAGCATAGCAAAAAGCTTAATTAATAAACATCCATAACGAGGAAGTTTTGATTGCATAGCTAATTTATGTGCCTTACTCATATCAATTTATAAAGTAATTAAGTATTATATATATTATTAAAATTATGAAAAAAAATCTCTTCATTGAGCTTATATATTTACAAACAATATGAAAAAGGTTTTCAATAAAAAATTAAAGATATCATTATAGTTTGTTTTTGTTTTTGTTTTTTATTTTTATTTTTATTTATTTTTGTTTATTTATTTACTTTTATTTTGATTTTGAAGAACTAGTATTTCACCCAATAAGACGCTTCGGTGTGGGCAACGCGGAGAACGGTTATCTGAGGTGGCACGCGCCATAACGCGGAACACCGCCGCAGCTAGCCGTTATGAGGCGTTACGCCATAAGCCGTGACCATGGTAACGAGTTGTAACACGATTTTTTTGACCGTTGTAAATTTACTTCCGTTGAAAAACGGTAATATTACCGTTGATTTGTAAAGAAAAAAAATTTACTACTTTAAAAAATTAAACTATATAACTACACATACATCATTTTATTTATACTTCTATTTCTCTATATTTATCTCTATTTTTCTATATCTATCTCTACTTCATTCAAAACAAAAAAACCACTATGTATCAAAACCTGAATACCCCTCCTCCGAAGACAAACACATCCACTCCATTAGGTTTTGCGGGATATGAGGGATACATGAATCTTCTAACCTCCCAAAACTCACCACAAATTCCATATTCCGGTAATTTTTTCAATCCCGCCTCACCCCCACTACAATTCCCTACCTCGCCATTTATGCAACAAAATGCAAACATTCAACAAAACCTTTTTACCACATTCGGTCCCATGCGCCAAATAGTCACACAACCCACACCCACGCAAGAACCCGTTGTCGGGATGCAAGCTGGTGGTAGTCAGTGAGCATCAGGAAAAAAAGGGAGACCAAAAAAGAAAGGGAACGAGGTCGTTGTCGGGACGGACGAAACGGAAGCACCTCCAACATGGTGGACACCGGAGGAAGAGCATGCGTTGGCGACGGCTTGGTGCGGTACTTCAAAACAACCAACTATAGAGAATGATATGAAGAGAGTTTGCTTTTTAGGATGTC